AAGCTTGATATTACCATTAGGGTGCTCGCCCATACTCGCTTAAGCTTGAGAGTGCGCGCGCATGCGCGCCCAAGCTTGATATTGCCGTTAGAGTGCGCACCCATGCGAGCCCAAGCTTGAGAGTGCGCGCCCAAGCTTGATATTACCGTTAGGGTGCACGCCCATACGCGCCCAAGCTTGAGAGTGCACGCCCATGCGCGCCCAAGCTTGATATTGTCGTTAGAGTGCGCGCCCATGCGCACCCAAGCTTGAGAGTGCGCGTCCGTGCGCGCCCAAGTTTGATATTGCCGTTGAAGTGCGCGTCCATGCGCGCCCAAGCTTGATATTGCTTGAGAGTGCGCGCCTATGCACGCCCAAGCTAGATATTGCTGTTGGAGTACACGCCCGTGTGCGCCCAGGCTAGATGCTGTCGTTTGAGTGCGCGCCCATGTGCCCTTGTGCTGGATATTGTCATTTGAGTACATGCCTATGTGCGCCCAGGCTGAGTATTGTCATTTGAGTGCGCGCCCGTGTGCGCTCGAGCCTATGATTATTATGAGATGATTTGTCTCCACGCACCCGTTGATTTATTCCCCTGTTGATCAGCAACACCTCATGCACATGATATTTTCCCTCGCACGGGGAGCATTGGCGGTTCAGTCCCTGCACAGATGACCTGGCGCAGTCTAGCCCCAGTACATTCAACATTTGTGACTGGTCCCTTCGCATGAGATGTATCACTGATCAGTTGCTGTTCAGCCGGGCCCTTCAGGCGGGCCTACTTGAGATTGTTGCTGCTCAGCCGGCCCCACTTCTCAAGATTGTTGCAGTTTTTCAGCCAGGTCCCCTCATGCGGGCCCTTTCTTTAGAGTTAGCTGTTGTTCAGCGAGGCCCACTCAGGATTGAGTTGTTGTTCAGCCAGGCCCACTCAGGCGGGTTTTATATTGAATTGATGTTCAGCCGGTCCCATTCAGGCGGGCCTCACTTTGAGTCAGGCTATTCAGACAGGCCTCCATATTGAGTTGCAGATTGCTATTCCGGTCAGGACTTGGAGGCAGTACCTGTACCAGAGAGGGTGTGTTTTCTGTCCAAGCTGGCCAGTCGTCGTGAGACTACCCCTAAGTGGGGTAGATTGATCGAGAGGTTCTACTACAGACATGTGGGACACCAGAGTTTCACTATCAGGGCTAATGAGTCCTCGACCTCGAGACACACGCTCGTAATCACCTACTCGGTGAAGGGGGCAGAGACGGGAGTGAAGGGCACCACATACGACAGGATTTCGGATTACATATTTCGCAGGGAGGGCTATTGGAGGGACAACTGGCTGCACGTGGTGTTCCCTCGCGTCCCTACAGCTCCTGGGGGTGTGCTCTTCGATTTTGACGGATGCAACCCCAAGCCCCTTAGTGAGCCCCGCAGCAAGGAGAAGAGGCGGAAGGACGACCGGATCCACAGAGAGATAACCAGATCCGGAATCCCAATTACTACATGTATTCCGAAATCAGAGACAGATGAGTTGGATTTGGAGCACTGTTTTGTGAGTGACCTTGATCTTGGCGATTATTTCGACTGGGACACTCATAGGGGTTGAGTTGTGGACAGCGACAGGAGCGCTGGAGGCCAGTGAGCGGAGACGTCGGAGGGCGACATTAAGGAGGATCGCACGTCTTCTTACACGGTATCTTCTTGAGGGTGATTGACTCCTACATGTCAGACGACCCTAGGTCTGAGACAGTCTCAAGAGGGGAGGGTCCGGTCCCATACCTTGGAGATGGCTATAGTCATTTGGTCGGGATGGACCTTGCTATGCAGGCTTATCGAAAGCCTCTTTACGGAGATCGCTTTCTGGAGGTTTCCTACATTTACTCTGGTGGGAGAGGACGTTTTGAGATATTGATTGGAGCTTCAGGCGATATCATCCGTGCAAAAGAGCTTTGTCTCAGGAGCGTCGCAGACAAGGAGATGGCCAGATGCATGGCCTACATCTGCAAGATTGATCCAGCAACGCCTCTCGAGATCAACTATGTGGTTCCAGAGTCTATAGCCACACGAGTTCTCAATGACGAGGAGTCCCAGACGGCAGCACTCACTCACGAGGGGGTACCGCTTATTATCATTGATTGAGGTTCTCTCTTTTCAGTCACTATTGATGTATTACGACATTATTATTTTTTAGTGACTGCAGCCCTCCAATGGCTGCTCCCTGCATAATCTGTGTACTACTCTTTAGTCTCGTATCTCTGGTCATGCTCTTGCAGAGTCTAGTTTCTGGTCTTCTTATATTGTCAGTGTCAATTGCTCTATGATGTATGTTATTTTTCCTCTTTATTCTATGCAGGTTACACTTAGGGCAGCTTAAAGGACTCATGAATGATAGGGACTCTGTTGACCTTGAGTCTATCCTTTATACGGGGTCAGGTGCAGGCGATAAACCCGAACGCCTCACTCTAAGCCGTGTCGCCGCTGGCAGGAGGGATAACCCTGACTACTCGGTTGTATGATAAAGTGTGACTGCCTCTTTATACACCTCTAATTTTATACCTATCAAAATTTCTGCGTGACAGTCTGCCAGTTCTCCAAACCACTGAGCTCGGTCCCGGGGAAGGACATCTGATCGGACCCTTGGAGCAGTTGGGGCGCGACAACGGATCTCTAGTCATATCAATATATAGACAGACTGATCCCTACTTACATAATTTCTCCTGGTTCTGCCTATATAACTAAGCCCTGCCCCCATCTGGAGCTCGCTCTACTACCCTGCCCTGCCTGTCATAGAACTTGCCGTTGAACTTCGCAACTCGCCCCTCGGCCTTATCTTCGAGGAGTTCTGGGCAGTCCACGGCTCTATGCCCTTCTTCCTTGCACCAGAAACAGGAGGTATCGTGCCATCTGGCAGTCTTCTTCTTTCTCCCGTGCGAACTCGATGCCGAAGGCGTCCCTATGGTCTAAGTAGTCACCTCATGACACGAGGGCAATCCCACATGGCCCTGAGGTCCACGCTCCATAGCCTCAGCACCCCCACCCTCTCGTATGGCCCTGCTCACTGGCCTGCAGCCCGGCGTGCCCAACTCTCGGGGTCCCTCCTCATGAGCTCTCTCTGTCATCCCTGCATACCCCTGACGGCTGAGGGCCCCCCATAGCGGTGGGCTGACTCATGACCTCCTGCTGTTGTTGTCGCCGCGAGTCAGGCTCCCCGGAGTCCGTCTCCGTGGCCCAGGAGCCCAGCTCCGTCCTCAACTCTCCCAATCTCGGAGCATCCTCTGGAGTGTCGAGCCTCTGAGGCCTCTCCTGTGGAGTGCCTACCCCCATGGCTGCCACCAGCTCATGCAAGCGCGAACCTCTCCTCTCCGTGGACATAGCCATAAGAGACTCCTGCGCACCACCTTCCTCCTCAACTGCGTCCAAGGGCACCTCCTCCATCGGCTAATTCTGTCGGGGGGCCTCCACTGCTGCTCCTTGGCTCGGCGAGGCGCGCATCCCCCGGCCCTGGCCATCGGCACCAGCTTGCCCCACCTGGCTAGCCTCCCGGGCTGCCGAGAGCCTATCCACAGCGGCCGCCCTCTCCCCAAATCTCCTCTCCCACTCAACCTCTCTGGCCTGGCTCCTCGCCCTCTCCTCGACAAGCTGGGTAGTCAGGTGCTCTATTTCCAACTCCTTAATCCTGAGCTCATTGCTGAGTAGATTATACCACAAGAAAGATGTGACTGCCGTCTCGCATACCCTCCGATCCATGCGCTCAATCGCCTGCCTGGTCGCGGAGAATCCCTAGTCCTCCATCTCTCTCAACTCACTCGTCTCCGCGTCCGCCTGTCCTGCCTCTCGTGACCTCTGGCGGGCTGCATCCCTCTGGCTCTCATACCTAGCCCACAACTCGTCGATCCTCTACTCACTCGTCTTGGGTTCGACCGGCGGTGTCGGCTCTATCCCCGCCGCCTCCATCTCAGCCTGTCTTGCGTACATCTCGTCCAGACGGACCCGCACTCGGGTGGACTTCTCTTCGCGGGTCTCTCTTGGGGTTCCTTCCACTCGCGGCCCCTGGCCTCCTGGAGTCGACGCCTCTGCCTCCATCCCTTCGCTCGCGCGCGGCACTACTGGCGGTAACTCTGTTGAAACGGGTTCCTCGATATCCGGGCTCTTGGTCACCTGCGTGGCCGAGGGCAAGTCAAGGGGCGCCTCCATCCTCGCTCTTATACACACATCCTGGTCCTCCGCCTCTGCCTTCTGCTCAGGTATAGTGGTGGCCTCAGGGGGAAACTCCGGGATCTTCTCACTGCCTGGCTCAGGAATCCCCTCTGGCCATGAACGCTGTGCTGGCTCGGGAGCTGGGGAGCATGGAGGGGTATCGTTCCAAGCTGTGATCACCTCTCTATCCTGAGGTCGCACCGGATCCAGCCGCTCGGCTGCCATCTCAGGATCCTGCGGCTCCTCTCGGTCTCGCATGTCTGTCTCCATCTCGGGGTCGAGGGGCTCCTCCAATGGCACGTAGCATGCCGGCTCAACTGAGCCCTCTCCCAGCCGTGAGGCCTCCCATTGGGATACATCGAGATGAGTCGCTAAGCTTCGGAATGGCGTCTTTCTTGGTATGTCCAGCTCCTGCGTTGCTGGCAGTGGCGAGGGCGGCCTCAACTCCTCGCTCGTAATCCGCTGAAACTCAACCGCTCGGAGGCCACAAGCAGGGAACGACTCCTCTGCCAATGCAGGCCCTGCGGGCTCATCCTCCCGCTGGGTTGGGGCTCCCCTCCTCTCTCTGGCCAGCCCCGCCTCTCTCGGTGCCGGTTCCCTTGGCCTCTTGCTTCGCCGCCGCCTCTCAACTCTGGGCTCGTGCCTATCGTGTTGTGGCCGTCCGAACGCCCTCCTGAGCTGGGCCTGACAGTCCTCCCAGTCTTGAGCCCTTTCCCGAATCTGCTTGGCCACCTGCCGCTCTGCCTGCCTCGTCCAGATAAGTATAGCTTGCACCCATTCCTCCCGCGGAAACCCCAGACTCAACATGTAGTGCTCATATGAGGGGATGAACTCATCTGCATTCCCCTCCTCCAATCGAATGGGCATGCCATCACGCCCCCTAGGGGAAGCTCTCAACCTCTGCATCCCGGCTTCCATGTCCGGCCAAGTCAGGGCCTTCTCACATATTTGAGTGACAGGCTCCTCGAACCGCCCTATACCCCTCAAGTGGTGAATCCTCTCCACCACTGACCACCCTCTTTATGCCGCATGGTCCCGATATACGTCCAAGAAGAGCTCAATGTTGTCATCATCAAACTCAGGCGTAGGCTCCCTCCTAGGCGGCTCATGCTTTTCGCCTCTTCCCTCCATCCTCAGGGGCCCCTGGCGTGGCCGTATGTCCCTCTCGCCCCTCTGCATGACTGCCATCGAAAAGTTAGACCTGCACAACAGGCGAGAGACAACAAGCAGGCACACACCAGGGTCAGCAATCGAGCCATCGGCCTAGGGAAATCCCACATACACTCCACACCCATCCATCCCAATCATCCACCTATTTAACCATCCGACCTGGGTAATACCTAGGCAAAACTCTATCCCTAACGAGGTCTCATGGCCCCTTACCTATTCCCTGGCCACAAACTTCTTCAGCCTTGTCCCTGATACCCAGTCCTGCCATCCTGCCCCATCCATCTCCTCAATTTGGTAAGCCCCAAACTCGCCACACCGCACGATCCTATAGGGTCCCCGCCACCGTTTGTCGAGTTTTCTGGACCACTGCTTTTCCAACAAGGAGTCATACAGCAGCACCACATCCCCAACCTTCAGTGGATCCTTCCTTATTCGGGCCATCTGGTCCCACCTCATCTTGTTTTCCATGCGACTTCTCTCCACCTAACCAGCGGTCTCCCGTAACCTTTCCTCAGCGGCTCCCACCTGCCGCGCCCGTATATCGAGCAGTTCTTCAAAGGACAGGTTCACTTCTAGGTCCTGGCGCCTCCACGTTTTCATAAAGCTTTCTATGGGAAAGGTGGCATGTCTTCCATACCATAGTGTGGCTGGCGCATACTTGGTAGTCCTTTTCACTGTAACATTTTCCACGAAGAATGCTGCTCTCAGGAATTTCGGCCACTGGTTAGGCTTTCCCTCAGTCCATTTGGCAAGGAGATTCGTGATGGTACTATGCCCCCTTTCCACAAGCGCGTTTGCCTGGGGGTGCGCGGCAGTAGTGTAGTTTGCCACCACGCCGTATCCCGCAAGCAAGGTCCGCACCTCGTTACACATAAACTCCGACCCCCGGTCCATCACAAAATTTATGACAAATGGATAGCACAAGTAGTACTCTTCGATGCACCTTGCTAAAACTGGGCCGGTTTTCGTACGAATAGCCCGACCGTCCACGAACCCGGTAAGGTTGTCCCGTGCGTCGAAGATATAGTTACTTTCGTTCTCCCCAAGTGGCATGAACAATAGGTCCAGGTGTACGACTGCACCCACTTCCCTCTCCAGTCTGGGGTGCAGAGGCTCCTCCGGCCTTTGCGATGACCTCTGTTGGCAGGGCACACAGGACTGACGGTACTTAATGACCATAGTCAGCATTCCATCCCAATGATATAACTCACTTATCTTTGCGCACGTGGCACTAACCCCTCTGTGCCCCCCTGCTATATCATCGTGTAACGCCGCTATGACATCGATCTGCCGGTTCCTCCCACATACGATCCTCTTTGGATTCCCAACCTGTCGCTTTATAAACAGATGGTCATCTCTTACTACGTAGAGATGCCTCATCTTCTGGGCTTTAACACTAGCATCCCTTTCCCTTATTTCGCACGACAGGAGTAACCCCAATTCCCGATAGATCCCGTCATACTCCTCAACACGGAAGGCCTCCCTGATCTCTCCCTCTTCGAACTCGTCGTCCTGGCTCTCAGGAATAAGAAGTTCGCCCTCTTTGGAGCTGGCTGCGCTCCTCTGGTCAAAGTTCCCCTGCAGGAGCGTGTTGGTGAGCAAGTACATTCCTCCCATTAGTTGCTAATGCTCCTCTACCTGGGTTGGGCCTTCCTCTATCATCCTCACCTCCTCCACTAGACTATGTGTCCCTGCCAATGCCAACTTCATCATCCAGCCAACATCCCTAYTCCCCCACGGATCTTCTTCCTGGAAGGGCTTGAGGACCAACTCCTCCTTCTGCTCGTACCCCCTTGGTGCTAGCCATATAGGATGCGTGACATAGCTAGGCACCCTCAACGACCACTCATTTATGTGGAGGCGGACATCCTCCTCCTGATCCAAGAACCCGTCAACTGGTGGGGTATCTTCAATTGACTCTTGACCCGCCCCATCCCAGTTGATACGGCTCAGCCCATCTGCCCTGTTCTTGTCCCCGGGAATCCTCTCCAACTCAAAGTTAAACATCCAAATGTAAGTCAACCACCTCGCGATGGTTGGATCAGATGGAGTATAACTTTTCAGGGAACATGCCAGCGCGGTGGGGTCCACCCTCCAAATGAGCCTCCTGTCAAAAATGTAGTTCCGGAAGGTCCTTAGGCAGTGGAGTACTGCCAACGTCTCCTTCTTAAACTGGGAGTAGTTCCTCTCAGTCGTATTGTGGGTGCGACTTTCAAACCTTAACGGCCTCTCCTTCCCATCCGCATCCGCCTGAATCAGGACTCCTCCTAAGGCAGTTGGCCCAGCGTCCGTCTCGACAACGAATGGCTTTTCCTCCGTGGCCTCGTAGTTTGGCGCTCCTAGCACCAAACCTCCTTCCTTTAATTCTCTCTTCATCCTTTCCACAGCCCTTTCCTGGTCTTCGCCCCAGACCCATTCCTGATCCTGACGCACCAGCTTCCTCAAATGCTTCGTCTTGGTGGCGAAGTCCTTCACAAAACTCCTCAAAAACCCGCAGGTCCCAAGGAAGCTCCTCACGTCCGTTATCGACTGGAAGGGGACTGGCCACTCTAGGATTTTGTCCGTCTTCTTCACATCTAGCCTCCGCCCCTTCTCATTGCAGACAAATCCCAGAATTGTGGGCTCCCTCATACAGTGCTTCGACTTGGGGCCGCTTGCCGTCAGGTTGTGTTCTTCCAGCATACCCAAAACCTGATCGATATCATGGACGTGCTTCCAAACGAACCGCCTCACTCCTGGCATCACTTCGTCTTCCTCCTTCTCCTGTGGACCCTTGACCGCCAAATCGTCAATGTAGGGCTGAGTAATATATGGACTAATCATCTGCATGGCCCTAATCATGTGCCTTTGCACCATCGCCACCGCATTAGTCCACCCCTAAGGAGCCACATTCATGTGGATCAGCCCCCTTGGCGTATGCATCGCCGTCACCGGCCTATCCGGTGGGTACACATGAAACTGATCATACCCAGAGTAAAGGTCTATAAGTGAAATTATAGGCCTTTATGCGCATGATTCTGACAGGGCGTCCGCGTTCGACAATCCTCCCGCGTCCCGCACCGTCACTGCATTCAACCATTGCAGATCCTGCACCCACCGCAGCGTTCCGTTCGGCTTGATAAAACAAAACCAAGGGGAGGCATACAGTCCACTGGAGTAATCCGCCACATACGTCCTCATCTTCCCATCCAAATAATCCACCACCTTCTTCTCCTCATCCGGATTCGGGTACCACGTGCCCCTCAGGTTCCACGGCTCGTGTAGGACGGTATGGATTCGTATCATCGGGATCTTATCCACGTCCAACCTCCCACGCTCGTCATCATTAAACGCGTATGCACAATGCCTCCTCCTCATGGTCTCCACCATCAAGGTCCTCTTCTGGGGCGACAGGGAGCCAGGCTCGCCAATTATCAACCCTTCCTCATTCTCCTTATTGATGCGGCACGACCCTGCCTGCGCGCGTTCCCGCATACGCCTTATCAGCCCCCGCTCTCGCTCATAGTAGGCTTCCTCATCCTCCGTGACAAGCACGGGAACCGGGCGACACTTCTTGTCTATGGTCTTGTACCGCCTTTGGGAGCCCTGCTTAAGCCCTCCCCTAAAAAAGGCCGACTTGTTGTTTGGGCCTGGGCCATCGCAGGGTCCCCTCTCCTCCCGGGAAGCCGATAGACCAGCTCCACTTCTCCCACCTGAGGGCTTTCCAGGACCTGCTCCCTCAATGCCTTTATGGCTTYCGGGTCCGCCATATCGTGCGCCGCCACCACCTCCATTGCCTTATTCACATCGTTAAGGCTCAGGGACAACACCTCGCCTGCTCCTTCCCCCTTCTATTCCTCCCGGAGTTTTTTCCGCGTGTATTCCGACTCCTCGAAGGTAAAGGAGCCGAGGTTGAGCCTATTCCTTGCACTTCCAGACCCTGTGTTCCGGCACTCGATGATTTCGTAGTTTCCGCAAGCCGGATCAGATAGAGCCACGATCATCGTCCCCTCATGCCTGTTGAAGACCAAGGTTTCCGTCCGGCAGAGGAACGACCTCCCTAGAAGAATAGGGTGGTCGACGTCGGGCATGACGAAGAAGCACGTTCGCGCCCTTACTCTCCCAATCTCCACCATCACATTAGACGCTGTGCCACAGAAAATGGCCTTGCAGTTGGTGTCGTGCAGTACACCATGGTCCGAATGGTTAACTTCCAACCCTAACATCGTCGCGTCCCGCTCCCGGATGATATTCATTTCCGCACCTGTGTCCACCATTGCAATGCTCGGCTGTTCCCTCACCTTCAAGTCCACCAACCCACACGCTACACATTTCCAATCCATCCTAGTGTCCGCCTCTATCCACTCTATCTCCCTGGGCAGAATTGAGCTCAGGTGGACATTGGGCACTAACCTTCGCGAGAGCCGCCCTTTCAGCTCGCTCTGGAGCCTTGGTGCTGAGGCCAAAATGTCCTTTAAGTTCATCAGATCGTTATGGCCCTCCAGGAGCTTATCCACCATTCGCTCCACGTCAAAGCCTTCCTCCAGCCGGACTGCGTACTTCTTCGTTTTTGGCATGCCATCATGCAGACTCGGCTCCAGCCCTCCCTGAGCCCCTCTCTTCTTGGCCCTCTGTTCCGCCCTCCGGTTCTCCTCCTGCCGAAGCCTCTCGTCCTCTTCGTCATCACCCTCATCTTCCTCTTCTTGAACTTCTACCACTTCCTTTCTTCGTCCAGCTCAGGGTCCTTTCGAGGGGGCGCTCGACTGGGTGTCTGGCTAGACTCTTGACTGGTGGTGGCCTTACTTTGGCCCCTAGTCTGCGCGGCCTGAGGTACCCTTCCATGCGACGTAGGGGGTCTAAAGGTCATCCCTGACCTAGGACCTGCCCCGGCCGTCGCCACGCTTGGACATCCTTGTGGTTCTGAAGACGACTCCGGAACGGACCCATAGAGGATCACCTCAGGAAGGCTCATTTCCCATTCCCGGGCCTTTTCACACATTGCCCTTAATCGATCCTGATACCTGCCGACCTTTGCAAGCAGGTCCTCCATCCTCTCCAGGATGGTCGAGGCCGACTCTCTCACCACTTCCTCCGCCTTATCGTCAGACTCAACAACTATGGGCTCCTCCTTTATAGTCCCCGCCTTCAACCGCTAAGTTACTTTCTCATTTTCATCCACAATCTCCTCGACTCTTACCTCGGGGTCTTGCCTTTCGTGCCATATGCTAAACATTGTTGGGGCTGCTGGAGGCCCGGCCGCTGCCCGCCTGAGAGCTTCCTGCCTGATTCCTCCCGGGGTCTTGAGGTCAATGTGCGTTCCCCACCGGTCGTATATATCCCCGTCCATATAGGTGGAGATTAATCCTGTCGTTTCGTCATCCAACCGCTGTTGGCAGAATCGTATGGTGTGGCCCACCTGGCCACAATCCCAACAAGTTGCGTTCCGCCAGTCGAAGCGGGGTCTCCCGTACCCTTGGCCCCCTCCCTGGCTGCCTTGGCCGCCTTGGTTCTGACCCCCTTGACCATTCCAGCCTTCTCCACGGCCTCCACCATTTCCTCCTCGCCCCCGGCCGCCCCCTCCTCTACCTCCTTGGCCCCGGCCCCCATTACCCTGCCCGCCTTGTCCTTGGCCTCCTCCCCCGGCCACACTAGCTTGCGAGGCCTGCTGGGAGGGCGGCGGTTGAGCCACGTGCTGGCTTTGAGTCGTCGGGTAGCTCGGGGGGCCCATACTTGCGGATGGGCCTGAATATGGGACCATGTGCCCCGCGTGGGCCTGACTCCCTCCACACGAGACGCAGTGGTTACAACTGGGCCAGGGCGTAGATTGGCAATGTGGCACCCAGTGTCCACAAGATGGCGGCGGCCCCATGTGCGATGATCCGGTTGGCGCGGGCGCTGGGGCGGCCGCGGCGACAGGTGGTGGTGCGGCAAGGGCTTGGGGAGCCTGCCCTTTCCATGATCCCTGACCTCCCAGTAGCAGATTACGCTGCTTCCTCTGGGCCTTAGTCAGGGCTTGGGAGCCCGTCTCCCCTCCGCCGTAGTCTTCGCACCCAGCCTCCTCGTCCCCTACTCCTGACGCCCGGCCTTGGGCCACTGCCACCACTCTTTTCTGTAGTTCTGCTTCGCTATCATACCCCAGTGCCGCCAACACGTCCGTGACTATTCTCTTCACCCTTGGGGCTCCGGATGCAGTAGCATCCCTCTCCTTCCTCTTGCGCCTTTGCAGCCTCATTTGGTGCTGCTCCACCTGGTCCAGTCTCCCTTCTTCCACTCCCTTGTCAATGGTTGCCCAGATGAGCCTCTCGCTTCCTTCCCCATACTTCGTCAACTTTGTGGCCTCCGAGCCTGTAAGCAGTCCCAAAAATGTGGCGCACTGCGCCTCCTCATAAATCCCGTGCACTTTCCTCGCCCTTTTCTTGAACTCGTGCACAAACGCCCCAATGGTAGAGAAGTCTTCCTTGTTCATGGCCTCCAAGTCCGCCATGGTCAACAGGCCATCCCCCAGCCTATACTTCCTTTGCATTAGGTCTCCAAATTTTGCCCAACTGCCACTAGCGGCGTCCACAACCTTAGTTACCTCTCGATGGTGGCTATGCAGGGCATACCTTAGGACCCGCTGGAGCTTGACCTCATCTGACAGTCCCACCAGTGCTTGCTCTGTCAGATACAACCAATCAGATACCCGATCCCCTTTGAAGTGGAATGTCTCGACCTTTGGGACATTGCTCGGCGCCCTCTCGCGCTTGTCCAGGGCGTCGATGAGGTCATCGAGAGTCACAAGCTTCCTCCCACCGTCCGCCATCTCTTCTAGCATCTTGGCCAAACGCCTTCAACTTCAATCTCCCTCTTATAAGAGACGATGGGACAGAGGATCCCACTCAGGGACTCAACCTTTCATGACCCTATCGGGTTGACCACTTTAGACACACCACACTCTAGACTTGGCAAGCACCCCTTCTCCCTTTTTGCTCATCTAGATAACGCTTATCCTTACCATAGGACTTCCTCATCCGCATACCGCACTCAGCTGTTAGCCAGACTATCAATCAATCAATCATCCAACCCATTGTCATATAGATCACCATACAGTCCATCTCATAGTCCTTCTCTTTTCCCGCTCATATGCCTAGTTTGTCGCTTACTATCATACCCGAATGTCGTTCCACCAGGGACAACAGTAGGCTTCCGTTATCCCCGGCAACGGCGCCACCTGTCAAGCGCACCGGTCCGGCACCGCACTGGGCAACGCGGGACCCTCTCGGCCGCGTCATGCAGGAGTTTGACCAACCTCGTCACGAACGTACAAAAGGAGCTTCCTTAGGCCGCTCCGGCCGAG